GGCACCCATAGATAGATCAGACTTCATCCTTGGTTATCCTGAGCCATGTCAAAACATCACTGGCCAACTGAACAGCTGTAAATGCAAGAGTCTACACAACTCCCTGCACTTCAGGCCATTTAGCCTCTTTTTCTTTCTCTCTCTTTATTAACTTTCTTTCTCCATCATCCAGAGCTGAGTCTACACTCAGTATTGCCATCTCCAGCTAGCTCACTGTCCTGTGGGTTTGTTAATTCTATAGAACGGCTCACAGAATTCACAGAGACTTAGCCTAGAACTTTGGTGGCCTAGTCATAAGGTGTTACACTGCTAACCAAAAGACTGTATCTGTAGCACTTCACATCCACCAGCTGCTCCATGGGAGAAAGCTGGGCAGTCTCCTTCCATGAATATTGGAAACTGACAGATGGTCACTATGAGTCAAAACCAACTTGACAGCAGTGAGTTTAGGAGTTTTATTATCCTATACTTACAGTTACCCAATTATTATAACCAGAAAGGAAACAAACAAAAGAGATAAGGTCTGGGAACGTTCTCTCCTCCAGGTTTCCACTGTCTCTAGGGTGCTACGTACCCCTACTCTTTAGGGATATTCTCACTAATCCTAGAGGCCCCCCCAAAAAAGAGCTCCAAGGTCCAGAATCTCCTTCTTGCTGTTGAGTATACCCACCTGTAGCTGACCCTCTGCGGGGTTTTCAGAGGCAGTTAATCACACAGAAGGAGACTGCCCGTCCTTCTCCTGTAGAACAGCTGGTGAATTTGAACCATGTGTGTTTGGGATTGCAGCACAGTTTCTTACCACTAGGCGAACAGAATCTTCTAGTGACTGAAATCTCAAAGAATATGCATGACTATGGCCTTATGACTATGGATTGAGGCTTAATGTCAAGAAGACAAAGATTCTCACCACTGGGCCAATTGGCAGCATCAGGATGGATGGTGAAGAGATTGAGATTGATCACAGCTTTAGTTTGCTTGGCTCCACAGTCAACACTCTCAGCACCAGTAGCCAGGAAATTAAAAGGCGCATTGCCATGGGAAAGTCTGCTGTTAGGGACCTCTCCAAAGTACTGAAGAGCAATGGTGTCTCTCTGGAGACTAAGGTGCATCTGATACAGGCCATGGTCTTTGCAATCACTTGTTATGCATCAGAGAGTTGGACAATGACCAAGGAGGATAGAAGGAGAATTGATGCCTTTGAGCTGTGGTGCTGGAGAAGAGTATTGAGTGTACCATGGACTGCTAGGAAAACAAACAGATTTGTCCTGGAAAGGGTCAAACCGGGCTGCTCCTTGGAGGCAAGGAATCTGAGGCTCCATCTAACATACTTTGGACATGTTGTAAGGAGAGACCGGTCCTTGGAGAAGGACATCATGCTTGGGAGGGTGGAGGGACAGCGCAGGAGAGGAAGGCCCTCTATGAGGTGGATTGATTCAGTGACTGGGGTAATCGGGATGGGTGTATCAGAGATGGTGCAACTGGCACAGGACAGAGCAGAGTTTAGAGCTGTTGTCCAGAGAGTCGCTATGAGTTGGAAGCGACTCGACAGCACATAACAACAACAACATGGCCTTAATACGTTGATATAATCACACAAAATGAATCTGCATGTTCTTCCCTTACTGAATTTAGTTTGCTTGTATTTTCAATATTCAGGCTGTTTTCTGAAATGAGATATAAAAGGTCAAACTTAGTTCTTTGTCCCACACCTACAAACATTATGTTAGCTATTTCCTAATGACCTAACATAATGTGCTTCTCTGATCAGAAAGGTAAATATAATGCTGGGCCAGACATGTTGTTGTTCTTTGCCACTGAGTTGAGTTCTAGCCCACAGCTGACCCTCCAATGGGCTATCAGGGGTAATAAATTGCACAGAAGATGGGGATTCATTCTCCCACGTAGCAGCTGGTAGAGTCGAACCATGTACCTTTAGGGTGGCATATGAATTGATGACCCTTGGAGAGAATGAAACCAAGTTTTTCCTTAGAAGCAAGGATTTGGAAGCTCCATCTTATATACTTTGGGCACATTGCCAGGAGGGACCAGTCCTTGGAGAAGGATATCATGTTTGGAAGGGTGGAAGGACAGGACCAAAGAGGAAGATCCCAGATGAAATGGATTGACCTGATAACTGGGATAATGAGGGGAGGTGTGTCCAAGTCAGTGAGACTGGGTCAGGATAGGGCAGGGTTTGGAACTATTATACGTAGGGTCACTATGAGTCGCAGGCGACTCAATGGCACATAACATCAACATATGTCCTTACCACTATGCCATCTGCCTCCCTGGACCAGACATAGTGTTACAAAATATCAGATTCTTTACATCTGCCTTTCCAAAAAAAATAATCACAGAAATATAACACCAGCCTATCACAACAAAGAATCAATTAACTGCTTCATTTTATGCATTGTTGTTGTTGTTGTTATGTGCCATCGAGTCGCTTGCGACTCATAGCAACTCTATGGACAACAGCCCAAAGCTTTGCTCTGTTCTGTGCCAATCGCACTGTCTCTGACACTCCCATCCCAATTATCCCAGTCACTGAATCAATCCACCTCATAGAGGGCCTTCCTCTCCTGCGCTGGCCCT